GTAATTTGGCCTAATTTAGTTATCAGTTGGATTTTTTGTGTGCTTTTATTACCTTTATTAAAAAACAAATGTCCCAAGACAAGAAACTTGCAGCAATTAGGCTATATTTCTGCAAAAAATGCAATTTATATGTGTTCAAATACAAGTTTTAACAAAAGAATATTGACTCAACACGAAAGTGTGGACTAGGGGAAGGGAGATCTCAGAATTTGTTCACTTTACATTGTTCTATGTGTACTGTTAAATATGTGTTCAAATACAAGTTTTAACAAAAGAATATTGACTGTGCAAATTGATTTTTTTTTTTAGTATTTAACCCGATAATGAAAATGAAACAAACCCAATGTTTTTAATTGGTCGATCCAAACTGCTTGTACAGCGGGGTTGATTTGACCTCAGTTCGCTGCTTTCGGAATAGCTGGACTAGCAAATGATAAAAAGTGACAAAAACGTTCCATATGTTTGACCCCTTCTATCATTTCCGCCATTGGTAATTGAATTAATGTACATATATACGCCATCTACTACGAATATATAACTAGCTTCTAATATGCCTTTTTCACGAATCGGTAGACATCTTGAAGTGATGACAAACATTGCGAATCAGCGGTGCGTAACCAACAGAAATAAGATAAGCTTTTGGGCGGATTTTTTGACATGTTATTTAAAAAATCATAACTCTAAAACGGGGCGTCGTATCCAATAAAAAAAAAAAGCTTCTCAGTAGTGTATTAAAATAGGTATATGCATTACAGTGCTTAGTACTAGTAATACTCTGAACTAGCATTGTTTTAGTTACCATATGAGAGTTTCCTGTGATAAAAACATGATTTACTATACTATACCTCTTTATAAAACATAACTAGTACTTTGTAAGAGAAATATGTATATTATCGCTACTTGGAACAGTAAAAACACGAAAGTCTTATGCTACTGTACTGTAATGCATTGGCCTATTTTAATACAATACTAAGATCAATCAATCTTAATTTCAGAGGTCAAAAAAATTTTTCAATTTTTTTTCAATCATATAGTGGTGTAGACTGGTCTTTTAAGAACATTTTCCTGGAAACATTTTTGGAGTTATCATTTTTTAAACAACATGATGTCAGAAAATCAGCCCAAAAGCTTATCTTATTTCTGTTGGTTACGCACCGCTGATTCGCAATGTTTGTCATCACTTCAAGATGTCTACCGATTCGTGAAAAAGGCCTATTATAACATTCAACTTATACTATTCTTTGGTAATTTTTTGACATGGATAGATGACATTTGACCTCATCTATCATTTCCAGCCACAGTTACGTGACTTCATTTGCAAATACGCCCTCTATGGCGAATAAGTAACTAGCTTCTAATTCGACATAACACTCAAATTATAATATTTGATAATATTTTGACATGGGTATAAGACCTTTTCCCACATCTATCATTTCCAACCACAGTTACGTGACTTATGTTGCAAACACGCCCTCTACGGCGAATAAGTAACTAGCTTCTTATTCGACATAACACTCAAATTATGGTACCTCAAATTATACTATTATTTGATAAAACTCCCAGACCAGTGGTGGCGCCAGAGGGGCTGGGGATATAGCCCCATCCCCTGTCGGGAAGTATAGCTCCCCCGTCGGGGAAGACGATAAATTTTGTCGTGGAACAAACAAATAAAACTAGAGATACTATGTCTAATAGAACATGAACCCAGTCATTTTTTAAGAGATAACCATGTGACTTTTAACCTCAACCTGTGAACACCCCATGTGTCACACGGGTAAATAATTACAAACTCAATATACCATTCACAGATTTATTTTGCTTTGTAACCATCATCACATTGTCCATGTAATAACGAACCATACTTAATATGTAAGCATAAATTGAACATATAGAATATTAACCTGTCTCTTATACACATCTAGATGTGTATGGTTCGTTATATATATATATATATATAATATATATATATAATAGTATATATATTCAGAGTTCAAAACAATGTAATGTTCATTGACTTATCCATTGTCCAATATACACATCAACTTGAATTGGTAAACTGTTCCAAACTGTATTTCGCAATAATAAGTGTGAGTACTGCATGAAACTTCTAAACACACGATTCCCAAAACAGGCTTCGAATGAGTAGTCAATCAGTTTATGCAACGCAATGTGTTATCCACCACAAACGAAGGTATATCACGGGCACGAGGCCACCTACAGTAAAATACCAGACATTTTACAATAATAATATTCATCTCACTAATAAGTGCTAATTAGAAATATTACCCACAAACTGTTCTTA